TAGCTTAAAATAAGTGCAATAATTATTGAGACTGAGATTAGCTTTTCTTTGTAAGTCATAATTATTTATACTGATACACTCTCACCTTTGCAGGCCTAATAACCTTTGCTTGTCCTGAGGTATTCGAAGGGTCATTTGTTTTATATCCTTTTTGGATGATTTTTTGGATGATGTCATCCTGAGATTGATCATCTGTAGGGACTGTTTGTACTGGCTCGTGGATGTTTGGGTCAAACAATACACCTGTACTCTCTATTGCAGTGATACCGTATCCCTCGAGTACTGTTTTTAATTGATTATAAATAAACTCTACTCCCATGCGCCAGTTAGGGTCTACTGCATTCCATGCATCAGTGTTCCCCATCGCCATGTCGAAACTATCCAGTACCGGTAATACATCCTCGATTACTGAGAGTGTGGTTTTTTGTTTTATGGTATCACGTACCTCACTGAGTTCACGCTGGAGGTTCACGTAATCAGCACGAGATCGCTGGAGCGCTGTGAGATGTTCTCTGGATTCTAATTGAGACTGTTTTAACTGTGCACGCAGGTCACGGAGTTTTTCCTTGTCCTTTTTCTCATCACCTACCCAGTCGAGTTCCTCGAATTGTACTTCATCCTGTGTACCCTCTGATACTGTATCTGCATCCAGATCTATAGTGTTTTCATCATAATCATGATTTTTCATATAGGTGTTATTATACATAAACAAAAAACACCTGCAAGGTGTTTTTTGTAAGTGACTAACGTTTAGACCACTGTGGTCGTTTACGAGCCTTGCGGAATCCGAATTTACGGCGTTCTTTAGAGCGTGGATCACGTTTTAGGAATCCTGCTTTTTTAAGATCAGTTTTCACGTGCTCATGTGCCTCAGTGAGTGCACGAGCAATACCGTGACGAACCGCTACTGCCTGTCCTGCAATACCACCACCACGTACTACTACGGTAATACCGTAGTCAGCAATATCTTTTGCTGTGGTAAGTGACTCTGATGCTACACGAATAAGTTCAGTAGTTTTAAAGTAATCCTTAACGTCTTTATTA